GACACGACTGAATGACTTCGCTTTCTTTCTTTCATACCAACTAGTATGTTCCCTTCTACAGGTATGCCATTCCTGTTCAACACTCCTGTGACTTTTATTTAAAAATTTTTTAAGTTTACGGTGTTATTTATGGCTGCCCTGGGTCTTCATTGCTGCACGTGTACTTTCTCTCGTTGTGTCGAATGGGAGCTACTCTCTAGTTACAAGGCATGTGCTTTTCACTGCAGTGGATTCTCTGTTGCAGAGCACAGGCTCAGTAGTTGTGCACCGGGCTTAGTTGCCCCGTGGCATGTGGGATCTTCCTGGACCTGCAATCAAACCTGGGACTCCTGCTTTGACAGGAGGATTCTTAAGCGCTGGAGCAGCAGGGAAGTCCTTACTGTGACTTTTAATATCATGTGCCTGGAGCTCTCTGGGTTCTGTCTGCCCGGTAACTGAGTCCTTTTTTGCTAAGGCCAATTTAAGTTAGAATTCTGTCACTTGACACTGAATGGATTCCGACCATTATACCTGAAACGCCTAAGTATACCTATGGGGGATGTATTTTTATCAACATTGTTAATAATAATACTTTTGCATCACCTAATCATGTCACATTGCTTCTTACAAAGTGCTTTCATACGTTACTTCATGTGATCATAACAGTAAAGCTGTGAGAAGGGCCAAGCTGGTTCTATTACAGTTGCTTGAGGCTCTCTCTCTCTATCTCTCTGGCTCATATTTAGTTTTTCTTCTTTTATGATATAAAACATAATGTGTAGTAAGGTAGAAACTTCAGGTTGTTCGCTGTAGTGTCGGACGCGCTTATTCTTTTATTGCCTTTAATTGAAACTTGCTCCCATCATCTCAGGAGGATGGAAAAGATAAAGACCTGTCCTCTGACTTCCTCAGAGGCCCTTTCTGCAGAATGTGCTGTCATGGGGATGACACAGCCCGTCCACAAAGCATATGACAGTGTTCAATGACAATATTCCTCACATTCTCCCAGGGTGCATGTGCAGCCACCAAGCGACACACTCGATCCTATCATTCTGGCAGCGCTCACATTCAATACCAATCACTGCCCTCAGATCACTGCGATTTATATCAGTTGTGAAGACAGATGAACAGGTTTTTCCATTGCACGGTTCCTGTATTTTGCATCCCTGGCCTCTAGGTCTTTACCACTGAATTTGATAGTCTTTACTCCTGTAAATATTTTCTTTGTAGGTATTTCAATGGATCGACTGGAAAACGTTTGTTTAAACATGTGATGTGAGACTCATACTGTTAGATATTATGGCTGAAATACATGAAGTATATGAGAAACAGTCTACAAACCACTTTCTCCTTAGGTGGGTCTCTAAGGTCATTTTCTTTAGTTACTGAGTCTTGTGCAAGTCAGTAATTGAGGTGACACTCTCAGGAGGACCTTGCAAGGGAGTGGGGGAAGTGGGATAGGACAGGGCAAGAAGCTAAGCAAAAAGTATGGTTTCAGAAAACATCTAGGCACAGATTGTTCTCTTTGCAGGACCCTGGAGAGAGAGTCATACCAAGACTTGTCCTGGACAGAGGCAAGGGGACCAGGCCATTTCACCCCTTGCACTAGGCAGTCATTGGCCCATGAGCTGTCTCTGCAGAAAGGGGCATAACACCCCAGACACCTTCTGTGGAGTCAATTCCCCATCAGCCACAGACAGGCTTTTGGAGAAGTTTGCAGGTATGAACCTTTAGGGCCAACACCTGAAGCAGATAGGGAGTGGGTGCATGACATGGTAAAGGGGAATCAGAGCAACAACAGCATCCTATGCATAAAAATAATGACCTGTAAATCTAAAATGATAATGATGTTAATAATAGTGAATAATCATATCGCATTTCATGTATGTCAGACACCGTTCTGAATGTTACACATCTGTTGACTCATTTAATCCTCCTAAGACCCCTGTGAGGTAGGTAGTAGTATTTTCCCCATTTTAAAGATGAGCCAACTGTGGATGGTTGTGATCTCAGAAATAATGTGGGAAGCAAGGGCAAGCAAAAGCCAGGCACATGGAAAATGTAGTCCAGGCAATGTGTCTATGGGTAAAGAATGGGATAGACCTGGTGTTGACTCAGAAGATGATGATCCAGACAGATGGGGTTTTGACACAGGCAAAGGTTGGGAGGTACATTGATAATAATGAGGATATGGATGATAACTTTCTGCTATTTATGAAATACACTTGCTAAAAATCTAATCAGATTTCTGTAATAACCTGGAGAGATAAAGAGTTTGGGTTTTAGAGAAGTAAAAATTAATAATTAGTGTTTCTGATAAACTTGGTGGCACTCAGGGGAGGTGCCCCAGCTAGGTCTCCAGACCCAACCTTTACTGTCCAGGTGGGAATGTTTTCACCTGTTATAACTATAAGTAGGAAAAATTAAGTACGTTTGAAGAGTGTTATGGACTGACTTGTATCTCTGCAAAATTCTAGTGTTGAAACCCTAACCCTCATTGTGACTTTATTTAGAGATAGTACCTTTAAAAAAATCATTAAGATGAAATGAGGTCATAAGAGTGGACCCTAATCCAATATGACTTGTATTCTGCTCAGAAGAAGAAAGCACATCAGGGATGCACATGCAGAGAAAATGCCATGTGAGGACCACAGTAAGAAGTATGTACATGCAAGCCAAGGAGAGAGGGTCAGCCAGAAACCAATGCTGCTAACCCGTTAATCTAGAAATTCCAATTGCCATACCCACGGGAAAATAAATTTTGTTGTTTAAGCCACCCAGTTTGTGGTATTTTGTTACAGCAACCCCAGCCGAGCAACACAAAGACCACTGTTAGAGCTAGTGCCTGGAGCAGTCACCACAAAGTACATGATCACACACCTTTGAATTTCGGAATATAGATAATCGGTACATATAGTTAAGTCCTACGCTGACTGTATTAGTTTTCTAGGGCTGCTGTAATAACATTACAATAGACTGGGTGATGTTAATGACAGAAATTAATTTTCTCACAATTCCAGACACTAGACATTTGAGATCAAGGGTTGCTTTCTCCTGAAGCCTTCCTCCCCTGACACAGGGCCAGCTTCTCTCTGTGTTTTCACGTGGTCTTCTCTCTGTGTATCCTGTTCTCCTCCTCATATAAGAATCTCAGTCATATTGGATTAGGGTCCACCTTATAGACGTCACTTTAATTACCTCTTTAAAGATCTTATCTCTAAATACATGGTGAGGTAATGGGGGTTAGGCCTTCAATATATATGAACTGGGGGAGGGACACAACTTAGAAAAACTCAAAGTGCTTTCTAGATGTAATATGTCTCCTGAGAACCTAGCTGCAGATGTTTTCTTTTGTAATCGTTGTTTTGCTTTGTACCAAATGACTACCAAGAAGTCGATTACTGATTGGATCCGTGGCTGAGTCAGAGACAGTCCTGAAGAGGGCTGCCTGTTGTGAGAATTCTCCTTAATAGCACAGATTTCAGTTGAGCAGGGAAATCAACCCAAACATACCCTTTCTTATGATGTGTTTGAATTAATAGCTTACAAAGAGACAGAAGTTAAGAACAGAAGGTAAAGCAGAGACAGAGAGATGCCGAATCAGGAAGGATATGGAATTGGGAGCCACAGATAGCCCTCTGTGCTGAAATTTGCCCCTTTGCCCTCAGGTTTTCTCCCTGATCTGTATCACTAACTTCAGTTATGTTAAGCTAGTGGAAGGCGCTGGTGAGAGGTCTGACTGCAGGAGGAAGGGAAAAACCAAGGTATTTCCCCTACTCGTCTTATCTTAGTTGTTGTCTCCGGCAGAGCTGAGAATTGTGAGAACTTCACAATTCCAGTTCTTCCTGAAAATATGTCCTTCAAGAGTCCCAGCTTCCATTAGGCAGGCTCACCAGGGCTCCATTTCCCCCCAGGTGGCTCCTCTTTGTGGATTCTGTAACATCATATCTTCTTCCTCTGTTTCTTCAGCCCTCAGTGATAGCAGATTATTGCTGTTTTAATGAATTTTGCCTTCCCTGTTGGACTCTTATAACCTTTGTTATTTGTGAAACTAATTACTCTGTTAAATTCTTTCTACTTGAAGTACCTAGCATAATTTCTCTTTCCCTGATTAGACCACAATTCCATCTTTTCTAAGGAGATGAATTCTAAAATTGCTGTCAAGGCACCATCTGTTTTATCCTAAACAGTTATGAATAGCATTCTATTTCCCACCTTTGGTGTACATTGTGCTAATGGTTTTGGAGGTTCTTTCCACCCCATAGAACTTTACAATGTGTCCATTATTTGAAATAGATTGAGCAGATTTCTGATTCTTGCAGCCTGAAGGAGTCCAGCATAACTTAGGCAATGACCTATAGAGAAACAGCAATTTTATCAAAAAGGCAAATTGTTAAAGTGTCACAAAAAGGTTTAGGATAAGGGTCACTCCCTTAATAGCTGTCTTCTTATCATTTACATGGGTGTTTTTCCTGTTTACCCATTTACCAGCTGGAATTCTTAGACTGGGCCCCAATAGGAAAAGCAGACTCTGATTAGAATGTGGACCTATTTCTTAGCTACTGTAGCATTTAAGATTATTCCCCTTTCATTACTCAAACAGTAGAGATGTTGAAGGTCATTTTTAATTATCCACATTCCTATAAAAGCCTCAGAGTTAATCTTATAATATTATTGCAGCAGAACCATGAAAAATTCTTGAATAACTTGATCTATTGGAAGAGGGCATAGGCAACCTGGGGCCAAGACAATTGTAATTTTTTAAAAGCCCCATAGTTGACTCTGATACACATTCAGTGCTGAGAAACACTAGTATAGGTTGGTAGAATTCTAGTATATGTTAAAAGCTAGTTGTTGTTCAGTTGCCTAGTCATATCCGACTCTTTGCAACCCCATGGACTGCAGTACACCACGCCTCCCTGTCCCTCACCATCTCCCCAAGTTTGCCCAAGTTCATGTCCATTGCATTGGTGAAGCCATCCAGTCATCTCATCCTCTGATGCCTTCTTCTCCTTCTGCCCTCAATCTTTCCCTGCATCAGGGACTTTTCCAATGAGTCGGCTGTTCACATCAGAGGACCAAAATACTGGAACTTCAGCTTCAGCATCAGTCCTTCCAACGATTATTCGGTGCTGATTTCCTTTAAGATTGACTGGTTTGATCTCCTTGCTGTCAAAACTAGTATCTGTTAGTAAATGTCTTTCAACAATTTTTTTTTCCCTCCATGAGTCATCTTGGCTGTGTGGGAGATTTTCATGCTCTAAGTTTACACATGATATTAGAATCATATTTGGAAAAATAAATGTGATTTGGCATTGTTTCAAATTAGGTTCATGTGAAGACAGTGCTTCAAACTGAACCCACATAAAGGGATTTAACGTGCTCCATGGGATAGTGGCTAGAGCATAACACATAAATCTTAGACCAGAGTCCAGGCCAAGAAGAAGATGGTCGTGTCACAGTCCCAGGCTGCCATATGTCAGAGACGTGAGTCCTGACTTTTCCAAGCAGTTGCAGCCTTGCCACTTAGAAAACATCCCATAGTTTCCGTGTGGTCGCCTGGAGTGTTGCTCGCTGACGGGTTTTAAAGCGATGCTTCTTGTAACCCAGCTCTGCTGGGAGGAGCTGGGGTAGCCCCAGCCATGTGCCGTACATCACAGTGAGTGGAGTGACCAGCATCTAACTGAACAGAAGAACTACTTTGAGGCAGCCAGAGCTGTCTGATGGGAGAAGACGGATGAGTAGGAAGAACTAACAAATCTTCCCATGCTTGGGGTGGACAAGGAGAAGAGCACTGCCTCACTGGAAAAGAGCCTTAGGTTTGATTCTTCACGCTGGAGGGAGACCAGCTTGGGCTGACCTTCTCTCAGTTGCAGACCAGTGTGGCGAACCTGGAGTGGGATAATGATGGGAGTTCGGGTAGAATTTCACTGACATAGAGGATCTGAGTGCTTCCTGGAGACAGCACATTCTGAGGGAATGAGAGAATCAAGAAGTAGGAGGGACAGGAAATCCCTCCCCCCGCCCCCCACCATTTGCATTGCTCGGTGATGATGGCTTTGGGTGGGTTTCACATCAAGTTGGATTAGTGGCATCTCTGGGGAAAGGAACACCCAAGGGATGGTGGAACCAGAGATTCCAAATGGACAGAAGAGGGAGCCATGCCAGGGGAGTGAGCCTGAGCTTTTTTACAAAGACGCTGGATGCCTGTTGCCTTAGCGTGGTCAGTTTTGTGTATGTCCTTCTAATTTTTCAACTGATGCTTCTTTCTTACAAAAGGGAAAATGCAAAAATCATGAAGTAGGTCCGTGTATGTTCCTCAAATGATAACTGATTCCAGTGACCTATGTAATGTTATTTCAATTAATGCCATCATGGTGATTAAATAAATATCTTACTGATATTTTGGGGAATAGTTATTTGTGCAGTTACTTTATTAACATTTTCTATTTATTGTGAAAACTAATAAGATAAATCATTTCAGTTGGATGAGGAAAATAAGGGAAAGACTGTAGTTTTTTATTTTTTCTTTCCTTGAACTTTAATACTTTCAGTGAAAGGACCTCAAGGCATGTGCTTCTTTGAGATAAAATACATTTTACATCACTGTCTTTCCCCTCACATCATGGGTCTCTGCCTTCACCCCATCGGATGTTGGCTCAGCGGCATGTCTTATCTCTTCCTAACATGCATCCTGCCATGTTATATTTCTTAAATGAATGGAAACTTTGTTTAAACAGAGGAGAGATATAATGATCACCTCACCTGTTTAAAATGACTGCATGAGTATGCTTTGGTCCTTGTCATTGAAAATGTATTTGCTTGGCGAGTTCTACGGCTGTATGAATTACTCCATAAGAATTCCCCACAATAGTTATTAGGAAATGGAAACAGAGTTAAACGACTACTTCCACACGTATTTTAAAATTAAAGGTGGCAGTTTCATAAAATGAAAAAGAGATACATTTTGGAGTTAGAGCTTCATTCTGATTCTAGGTTTCCCATTTACCTTTTGGGTGACCTTGGGCAAGATATATGACCTTGTTAAGGCCTCCAGTGCTTCATCTGTAAAATGAGAACAAAATCCATTTCATTAAGTTATATTGAGAAAGAGATGCTACATGAAAACACCCGACAGAAGACTTGGCATAGAACGGAAGCATAAACATAATTGTTTGCTTCTTATACGGCTTTCATTGTCATGTTTTTAATTCTACTTGAGAACTCATTGGTAAAACTATGTTATATAGATGTTTAGAACTGATTCTGTTATTGTCTTCCAAGAGTGAGTCAAATTTGCATTGTCTTAAGATAACAGAAAAGAGAGAAAGTTCAGTGAGGATACAGCTGTTAGGTTAGGGCAAATCATCTTAGCACTTGCCTTTTTGATCATTTTGCATTATTTTCCCCACTGTTAAAACTTCCAAATGTTATCAAAATGAGCACTTTCTAGTTCCATAGAAACTGTTCAAATTTTATATTCTCGAAAGGACTAAATCGGTGGCAACATTCTGAATACTCGGAAAAACAGCTTGACAAGTTCAGTTGAAAGAGAAACAGACATAAGTAATGAGCATTAAAAAAAGAAAACACACACCAAAAAGCCTTACAGGGATATGAATTCAAGCTGCTTCACTTTTTCAGAATGACTAGGTTATAGTTTTAAAGGACCCACATAAAGAACCTTTTCTATGGAGGGAAATAACTTGATGATATCACTGCGGCTGGCAAGGTCAGCTGGGATGTTGGCTAGGTAGCAGAAAATACATTTCTTGGCTTCATTTCCTTCCAAACTAGGGCATATTCCATATTTTGCACAAAAAGTCTATCATTTCATAGCTGTAAAAAGAAACAAGGTTTAGAAACAGTGTGATGTGGTAAAAGGAAATGAGTTTTGGAGTCTGATGTACTCAGCTGAGGTCATATGATAGCTGGACACATTTGAGGAAGTCATGTATCCATCTGTACTTCAATGTTTGAAAAAATGGGGACAGTGCCATCCAATCTGCTGGCTGGTTGTGAGGATTTAAATGAGATAATGCATGTGAAAGTGCCTGGAGTATAGAAGACTTTTAGTAAGAGTCACTGGATTTGTTTTGTTTTTTACTAATGATGTTCTAATTTAATGGTTAAAACAAGCCAATCCTAAGAGGCCAAGAAAATTTGGAAATCTCAGAGAATTCTCATGAAGAAACCTTTTAAGAACTTCTGTAAAATAATATCATGAACGTATGGAGTAGATTTCCAACTCGAAAACACTGTGGCCTCAGGATTAAGATTAAGATGATTGACTTTTACCTACCCTGGAAACTGTGACAGGAGTTCCACACATCTGAGTTCTCACAGACCTAAGTTTGCCAAGACTTAGGAGGCATGAAGCATTAGTTGAAGAAATATATCTGCTTCCAAGCCTTCAGAATTCATCTGATTTAAAGTTCAGGGTTACACATACAACTCACCTACTGTGAGAATGACCATGGAGATTTCTTAATACTATGACCATGGTTTTTTTTCCTTCTTTCCTCCATTTACATTTCTGGTGGTGCTTCTCAGAGATTAAATCACTAGCTCAACCAAAGCATTTTCCCCAGTATTTTCTCTTACTCATTAGCTCATTCCCAAAGTTATGCTATAGTTGGATGAGGTTCAGTTGCTTCTGAGAGACTTGTTGTTTGATGTTTGGATTCCATTCACATGACTTTATCCTTCATAACTCATAGATGATCATTTATAATAAATACTGTCAGGAGCATGTTATGTGAAAAGTCATATTTAAGAGGCTCCACTCCTGAGGCAAGACCTATTAAACTGTAGTAAAGCATCGAAGTTACAAGGAAACCGATTGTCTCTCTGAATTATGCTCAATCTCTTTCTCAGTCTCTCTGATGAAGCCTCTCATCTTAATGTGTTTGTATAATAGAATTAGAGATTTGGAAAAGGTCAGAACTAAGATATGAGAGTTGGACTATAAAGAAAACTGAGCGCCAAAGAATTGATGCTTTTGAACTGTGGTGTTGGGGAAGACTCTTGAGAGTCCCTTGGACTGCAAGGAGATCCAACCAGTCCATCCTAAAGGAGATCAGTCCTGAATATTCATTGGAAGGATTGATGCTAAAGCTGAAACTCTAACACTTTGGCTACCTGATGCGAAGAGCTGACTCACTTGAAAAGACCCTGATGCTGAGAAAGATTGAAGGCAGGAGGAGAAGGGGACGACAGGATGAGATGGTTGGATGGCATCACTGACTCAATGGACATGAGTTTGAGTAAATTCCGGGAGTTGGTGATAGACAGGGAGGCCTGGCGTGATGCAGTCCATGGGGTTGCAAAAGTTGGACACAACTGAGTGACTGAACTGAACTGAGAGTTCATTGGTCCAACTTCCTACTTTTACTGGAAGATACCTGACAAAAATGTTTAATGGTTTTTGTTTTCAAAACATGGAGGATAATGAGACTGTGTCAATGTATAAAAGGATACTTCAGGCCAATGCCAAATCTAAGAATAGGAAGCGAAGTTGCTTCTGTGCCCATTGAAGGTTGGGGAATGGAGAAAACTATGATTTAGTGGAAAACATCACTCAAAGCTTCAGATTACACATCTGTAAAATAGTGATGTTAGTAGTCTGTCTAAGGGTTGTTGTAAAGATTATGTGAAGCAACTCATACAAAATACTTAGTCCAGTGCCAGACACCCACTAAGAACTGTGTTTTCTCTCTCTCTCCCTATATATATATATATAGTTGTATGTGTGTATATATATACACATACGTATAGTGGCAAAGTATACATAACATAAAAGCTACGACTTTATTTTTAAGAAGTAGTTCAGTTGTATTAAATACATGACACTGTTGTGCAGCGAGAAACACCATTTATCTCCAGAACTCTTTTCCTCTTGCAAAACTGAAACTTTGTACCATTAATAATAATACCTCATTCCCCCTGTCCCCCAGCCCTTGGAAACCACAGCTGTACTTTATCTCTCAATGAATTTGAATTAGCCACTTTAGCTAGCTCATCTAAGTAGAATCATACAGTGTTTGTCCTTTGAGGACTGCCTTATTTTACTTAGTATAATGTCCTCAAGATCCATCTGTTTGGAGCATGTAGAGAATTTCTCTCTCTCTTAGGTTGAATAAGATTCCACTGTATATCTATGCCACATCTAGTTCATTTATCTGTTGATGGACACTCTGGTTGCTCTCATATTTTGGCTATTGTGAACAATACTGCTACGAACAACAGTATTTCCAAGATTTGAGACCCTGTTTTCAATTATTTCCATTTTATATCCAGAAGTGGGGTTGTCAGAATGCTGTGAGTTGAGGAGTGAGGAGGAGTAAGAATGTAATGTCAGAGATCACGGAGAAGGCTTCCAGAAGGAGAAGGAGAAAGAACGCAGAAATCTAGC